TATGACTAGTATCCCTACTTGTATGACTTTCTTTCTGCAGTGGAACACAAAAGCAGATGTTTAGCTAAATGTTCATGCTGCTATTTTCTATATATTAGAAACATATGATTAAGGGCACTTTTTTTTCCACAAGGGAAGATCCAGTCTACTATTGACTACTTTAGAGGACCAGTAAATGATTACAATTTTTGGATGAACTAATCCTTCAAAAACTATAAGTGCAATTACAATCCTCTTAAGTTAGATTCGGAAATAATATGAAACATCCGGTACACATTAATGTGTTTTTATATGCAAAAAGCAAACAGCTATAGATTGCACACAGGTTGGACCACATAATGGCCAAGTAGCCATCAGTAATACGCCCACATATACTATATAAATATACCCACTCAATAGTCAGCAATCAAAGAGCCATGATATTGATTTTTTTTGTCCATTATGCGCAGACATGATCTATGTAAGGCTAAATATTTTATGCGTTTTGACCAAGGAAGCTATTAGCTGTATACTGATAAAAGGAATGACCAAAATAACCAAAGGGAAGCGGGAAGAGCAAACATACTTGGTTTCCCCACTAATCGTTTTGCCCTAATGAACCGATACATATACAGATAAGTGCAGCATGTAGGCCTATACAATTTATGAAACACTCTAATGCAGCTTTCATTGATGGTATAAATGCTTTTCACAGGCCACATAAATCTGATTTGGTTTTCAAATATCTCTATTATTTCGTAAGTAATGTAATCTGATCTTTTTCCTCAGATGTTGTGTAGTCAATATCCAGTGTTTCTACATTAGCTGGTAATTATGTAAGCGTCAACACAATGCCAAAAGACTTATAACAACTAACACTTGAGAAAAAGAAGTAATTGTATTGAATGTGCACTTGTACTTCAAATCTTAAAAGTATATATTTAAAACCCTGTACTTGCAGATGTTATAATATTACTGAAATAAAAGGCCATTTAAGTGTACTTAAAGAGAGTACAATTTTATGACAGTATCTTAAAACACTTACCGGTAAGTATGCTTAAAACACTTAAGTAAGCTTTTAAAAAGTAAATATATAACATGCAATTAAGTGTCTAAAAACATTACATTTATACGCACTTAAGTATATTCTATTACAGTGTAGTATTTCCATATTAAGAACTCTTTTTAATAGTATGCTAAAGTGTACTTTTCACAATAGCTGTAGTGTGTAAAGAGTGGACAAACAACTGTATGTTCTGCTGGAAATATATCTTTAATGAGATTTCACTGCTATGCTGAACAATTTATTTTTAGCAAGTGTAATTTGTACACAAAATGATCGGAATGCGTGAACACATATATATTATTCAAGGACAAGGCTGTCTGTATGTTGGAACTGACACAAAGGACAGCTAACTAACACTTCTGTTGGTCCCCAGTCGAGTGTGCCTTGGCCATTGCACAGTTTCCTGCTATTGAAATGAGATGCTTTGCGTCTCATCTAGTAGCTGTGCACAAATGCGAGTCTTGTTTTTATGTGTTCAGTGCAATGGTTTTGTTGGAGGTCTTGCGTGCAGCAGACAATGACATGTCTGTTTTTCACCGAAAATGTCTCCCTGACCTTGGGGGTGTTTGTTTTAAAGGAGCCCCATGGGGAAAACAGAACAATGGCCATAAAACATCTTGCATGTTTCTTCACATGATCAGCACAGGCTTTCTGAGCTATATATTCATGTCAGTTTGCTGGGTATTTTCGCTTCTTAATAAAATCTCTAACACTAACGTTGCTGATGCTTGCTTTGATAACGTAATGTCACGCATACATAATACATTAGACATGAATATACATGTCAGCATGTCACAATGTCAAATCTCAGCCTCAAATGCCTCACCAGCAAAGCATTTGCTGACCAGGCTAGAACTTAACAAAAGCGTCAGGTTACGTAATTCAGGGAGTGTGTTTACTTATTCTTTTTTAAAATCTGTACAAAGAAAAACAAACGTTTGAAATATCAAAATTTTTGCAAGGAGGGCAACATCAAATGTTTTTTTTTTTGGCCTGTTTTATTACCTTTCAGTCTAAACACATATTTTACGTACAGCATATTGCATAAGTAAAGTAATAATATCAATAATATCTCACAATCTCTCTATTTTGAGGTATTATGTATGTCCTTAGCCATGTCCATCAATCCAAGTCCTGCATCATTTCATCATTGATTTTTCCCTAAAAGATTATTATTCTGTGACATAAAATTGTCATAGTAATAGAGTGCAACAGGTTTGGCAGTAAAACTCCCTTTCACTTTTTCTATGGAGAAATTGATTTATAAAAATAAAATAGAATAACTTTTAATATTCCACTGTAAAAAAAAAGTTGCTGCCTTAAATTAAGTACAATCAACTTGGATGTTTATGTAATTTCAACTTAAATTTTGATTCAAGTTGTATAACATAAAAAAGTTTAAAATTGCTTAACTTATTTTTGATGAGTTAAAGCAATGTAAAAACATAACTTATAGATCATATAATTGTTTACAGTGTATATATAAATGATATGAATGACTTCAAATATATTGCATTTAATACTTACAATAAATCAATATTTCATTTTATAATGTGCTGCAGTTTTTTAGATTATTATTATTTTCTGTACTTCATTGTTATTCATGGTCATTGAGGACTTTAAAATCCCAGTGGAGAAAATGAATGAGAAAATACTTCCAGAATTACGGTCCCTCTATTATTTAATCAAAGACTGATTCCTCACAGTATTGCATAATACATTGCATGTTGTTGTTGCAAGTAACGTGCAATGTGTCATGGGGTGTGGTTTATAATCCAGAACGCCTTGCCGAACCCTAACATAACGTCTCAAAAACTATCCTCTATGCTCTAAACTGAAGGACGGTTTGCTGAGGTTGCTGGTTGCACTTCCGCTTATTTTAGCTTTGTTATAGTTTGGAAAAGCACAGAAATGCAGCTTCTATGTTCATGCAATAAAATCACAAGTGAGAATATTAAAAGTCCCCCTGTGGTGAAAATCAAGCTTAATGTTGTTTATATGTCTATGTGGTGTTTTGAATATGCTTTAAAACCCTCTGGGGTCGGCGTGTTTTGCTCGATTCTTTTCACATAGCAGCAAAATAGACTTAAAATACTCCGTCATTTTTGTTTTACAAAACAAATATTCTCTGTTTATGTAGTTTATATAAAAAAAGAGAGATGTCAGTCGTTCTCATTTCAGCTCATTATAGCTCATTAAGTGTTAATGTGATCACGCCCACGGAGAGCGCACGATATTCAAACGCAAATGATCTGAGGCAAGCCATGCAAACGTGCCAACGCCTTCATCAACTTGATAAAACACACCAAATTTAATCAGATTAATGTACTATGTCGTCTTGCGAAGCTGTGAGGAATAATCCTGGAAAATTTACCTCAGAACAAGTGCTGGTTTAGTTTCACTTCGAGGAGCAACGGATCCAGTTGAGGATTGTGAATAGTACGTTTTTTATTCATAAGTGCTTTGTTCTAATTGTGATATGGGATAGTGTCTGTAAACCGCAAAAAGACTGTTTAAATATGAATCACATTTCTGTGTGTGATGAATGAACGGCACAGATGCGCACTGTTGTTTTTACTATGTTAGACGAAATATGAAAGACAACATTTCGTTGACTAGTTTTGGATAAATTATAAAGTTTTTACTGTAAAATAGACATCAAATAAGCTTTTGTTAGCCAGTTTCTGCTCATATGTTAAATATCTAGTATGTTTTGTCAAAATAAACTCATCAAGATGTTATTATAGTGTTTGTTCCAATGTAGGCTATATCAAACGAATCCTTAACTTTGAAATATGTATGATAAAAATGTATACTTTAAAAAAAAGAAAGATTACACTTAAGATATTGTTAAAATTGCAATTGTTTTTGATTTACATGTTAACACTTTTTAATAAAATAGCAAAAAAATATATATTTACAAGGTAGAAATACCCAATATAAGCCTTCTCATTAAATTATTCATTATTGTTTTTTAGTGACACATTTGGGGAGAGGATATATTCCAAAACTTTAAAAGAAAATACAGTATGAGTATTAACTGCACAATTACTAGAAATGTTTACCTTGGATATTATACAATTTGCATGTATATTGTTTTGGGAGAAATTATTGACTATTATTTTAAATGATTGACTACAGTGGGACTTTAAAGGGTTTCTCCAAGTCTTTCTACAAGTCTTTCGCTTATAAAATAAAATAAAATGAAACACAAGGAGCTCTGTAATACTTGGAGAAAGCTATCGGTTAGCCTCACCATTCACCTCAATGGCACTTGATCCAAGCACATGATGTCATGTGACTAATGCTGGAACCGCATGAATAACATTGATTGGATAATGGCAAACCCTGATCTTAAGGTAGCAGAAATGGCTTTGGTAAAACATCTAATATATGATATAAGCAAGCGATATGTTTTATATACATAATCTCAGAAATATAGAATACATAAATGGATAATCTGAATGACTGTCTGAATTGTCAATGCTCTTTGCAGTCAGATGGTGTAATTAAGGCATCTACCAGCAGGGGCTAACTGTACCGTGCTAAAGTTAAACTGTGACTGCCTAGCAATCTTACAGTCTCCTAAGAAGAGCTCATAAACTCAGAACTCTTTGTCAACATACAAAAGTCAGAAATTTCAATATGAAAAAAACCACTAACTGAGCTATTCTATCCACATTGTATAGCTCCAGATTTCAACAAAACAGTTGATACACAAAACAAACATGAGAACTTAAATAATCCTTTAAAATATAACCTCTTATTATAATTTTCCTATGGGTAAGGTTTAATATTGTAGAATACAATAACAAATGAAAAGTTGTCAAAAGAGACAGTTTGCACCTTGCACACGGTATAATAATATTTTTTTTTCTCAGTCAGAGGAGGAGGGATCTATCCAGGAGGTGGGAGGAGCCGTGGCTGGTCAGATACGTTAGTCGTGATAACACTGGCTTGTCCTCCACAGCACAGCTGCCTCTCTCCCACCTCTTCAATGCACACAGCACAGAATTGCCCCTGGGGCCACTGCTGACGGAGACACCAAGACAGAGCTGTGAGGAAGGGGGTGGGCCAACAGACCCTCGCTGAAGCAAGTCGGACTCGCTCATTTGCACTGTCACACACTCAGGGAGTGCTGCATGCGGTCTACAGGTGCTCTACAATCACTGGACCATATGTGGGACTGAGAACAAAGAGGGCTAATTGAAAGGATACTTCAAGACAAGTCGGGGAACAACAACTATTTTGGAATGCTTTAATTAGTATGTTGGAAAAAGACATCTGTTTTTTCTCAATGGGAATATACTAAGAGTGGATTCTAACAGGACTACTCCCTTTGGCTGATTGTGGATGGTATTGCTCAAGTGAAACCAGAGGAAAGAACTCCGTGAATTGAAACTTTGAAGTGAGTAGCTTCTAAACTTGGGGCAACAATCTTGTGGGGTGGCTGGGGAAAGGGAAGGGGGAGGGGAAGAGGTAGTTGGGGTCTGGCTCCAGTCTCTGGGGTGAAATGCCTTCAACATGAGGCTTTGTTGGAGAATGCCACAGAGAAGTGTTTGATCGCTTCAGTTTTCAACTGCCAGCAGAAAAAGAAAGAAAAAAAAACACATTAAAGAGATCTATGTGCCCTTAAAGGCAAGAACATCTTGCGGTTGGAAGCAATCTGTCTGCTGCGCATGCTTTGTTTTGCCCTGTTGAATTGGGGATTGAGGGAAATCCTCTTATTGTGTAGTCTCGCCTAACTGCCACCCCATAGTGTGCCTTTGTTTCTCATTGAGATGTACAACACGACTGTTCAGATGGAGAGTTTTGCCCCGGGATGGGACAATTATTCTCTGCAGCTAAACAACAACAGTTGCCCAAAGAATGACAGCTTCAAATATCCACTCTATGGTATAGTGTTTAGCATTGTCTTCATGGTGGGACTCATCACCAATGTTGCAGCCATGTACATTTTCACTTGTTCTCTGAAACTGCGCAATGAGACCACAACGTATATGATGAACCTTGTGGTGTCGGACTTGTTATTTGTGCTCACGCTCCCTTTGAGGGTTTTTTACTTCATCCAGCAGAACTGGCCATTTGGCAGTCTGCTCTGCAAGCTCTCTGTTTCACTCTTTTACACCAACATGTACGGGAGCATCCTCTTCCTAACGTGCATCAGCGTGGACCGCTTTCTCGCCATCGTTCACCCCTTCCGTTCGAGGGGACTCCGGACCAAACGCAATGCCAAAATCGTGTGCGTCGCCGTTTGGATTCTGGTGCTTTCTGGAAGTCTTCCGACAGGCTTCATGCTGGATAGTACAAACAAGCAAAATAACTCAATATCCTGCTTTGAGAACTTCTCCTCAAAGCAGTGGAAGAGCCATCTCTCGAAAGTGGTGATCTTCATCGAGACAGTGGGGTTCCTTATCCCCTTGATACTGAATGTGGTTTGCTCCGCTATGGTTCTCCAAACCTTGAGGAGGCCGCATGCTGTCAGTCGAGGAGGGAAGCTGAACAAGAAAAAGATCTTGAGGATGATCATCGTCCACCTCTGCATCTTCTGCTTTTGTTTCATCCCCTACAACGTCAACCTGGTTTTCTACTCACTGGTGCGGACGAACACCTTAAAGGGCTGCGCGGTGGAATCGGTGGTTCGGACGATCTATCCCATTGCTCTGTGCATTGCTGTGTCCAACTGCTGTTTCGACCCCATCGTCTACTATTTCACCTCAGAGACAATACAAAACTCCATTAAGAGGAAGTCTCAGGCGAACCGTTCCTTGGATGTCAAGTTCTCCGAGGCCTTGCAGTCGGAGACGAGCTCCTCCCTTCATTTCAGCCTGAGGTCCATAAAGAACAAGATGTTTCACAATGAATCCAACGTATGAGGACATATATATTGGACAAATGGATATTTTCTCAACATCCTATCTTGCAACAAATCTCAAAGTCATTACATAAAGTGGATTTAAGGAAACAGAATGCAGAAAAAGCACTCTGCGGCGGATGAAATGTGGCATGAAACATGTGAATTATGCCCTAATTGGGTTTGTTAATATCTCTCTGGGCAACGAGTAAACTATGCCCTTTTAGAGGGATTTACCTCCCTCTTAAAGTCATCCCTCAGCCCGGAACTGGGGGCCACACCTGTTCTCAGTGGAAATCTATCCAAACATTTGGATTACTTAACTGTGGAGTAAGAATAATACAAATATAGATCAACTGGAACTTGATAAAAGTAGTCCAGAACTTCTAACTATATGTGAATGTACTTACATTTCCAGAATGGTAAGTGAATGTGGAAATAACATACTAGGATATATAACCACTATTTAATTAAACTCACAAACAAAATGGAATGATACTATTTTATGCAATGCCACGTGAAAACACATTGACTGCCTGAAAGTGTCATAGTATTAACAAGCTGAAAACTTTTGCTGACAGTTTAATACTGTATATTAACTTTGCACTGTTATTGATAATGTCATAATGCACTGTTTTTTCCTGTTACAAACTTCACTTAACAATAAAGTTCTAAAATCATAGGTAGAAGTATTTATTTACAATAGATCGTCATCATTGCTTCTCCCTCTGTAATGCCCATTCACAAATACAAGCCTGCAATATTGAAGTTGCAATGTTCCCTTTTCTTCTGTTTAATCTTTAAATATTCAACAGTTACTATTTAAAGTATTTACTATCTATGTATACCATTGTATAAATGGTATACAATGTGTGTGTGTAATGCCGCACTGATATAAAATATGAAATTCTCTGTGTTTTAAGGCATCTCGTGGCTGATATTGACAAAGAACAGTCTCTTAGACTAAATGGAAAGTAAAAACAACATTTCAATCACTCAAAGTGTCAGTCACTGGAGAGTGAAACAGATTAGTCTTGATACGAGATGCATGCCCCAACACCAGTTTGTCCAAAATTCTGTTTTTTCTTGTTCTTATGAAAATGTAATCTGCTACAGGCATAACTGAGCTGGGGTTTTGGATAAATAAGGTTGAGAAATTTCTTTATAACTGTGTAATTTGTGACATGACAGCGCAACGCTAGATTTGGCAGGAACTGTCAACACACCCAATCCAACATCCTCCCTTCTAAACGTGCCTGTAAAAGTCTGCAGTAAGGCGTTGCTGTATCTGTAAAGATGCGTCAGTCAAAAAGGGAGATCCAGAGCTTTTAAGCTCTTGGCACAAGTGTTAGATTAGTAGATCAATCTCACTCATTGTGTCTCTGTCAAGCAGAAAAAGGGGAAATAAAAAAGACCGAAAGTCTGATGAGAAGTACTGACTTCACGTTTACGTACATCAAATCCGCTTCCACTTATTCATGCAAATCACCCTAGTTTTAGTGTTTTGAACCAGGGAACTTGACTGGAACCCAATTTGTTCAACGTCTCTCATAATGCACTCGTCCCTCACAAAATTCAGAATAGTGGTGCATTACTATGGATTTTTTTCAATTAAAGGCTATTCCAAGATTACATTTGGTCCCCCTAATATTTCAATATTTGTGCACATCCCTCTTTAAACCTTATGCAACTGTCTGATGATACATTTTCCAATTGGCTCAAAGTGAAGTTCGAAGACTGGTGAGTGGCGACACATTCTTTAAAAACTGCTGTAGATGATGGTCCACCCATTCGCATTCTGTATTCAAGATTTTATACGACAACTGGAAGTTTTGGACAGGAAGTTGAGTTCTTTTAAATGCATATTTAAGACATTATGCAATAAGTCAAAGCTAAATATGGAAGGTAAAAACATCCTCAATGAAGCCTGTGTTAGTTCCCAAATATCAAACTGAAATCCTGTTTTGTTTTCACTTCCTCAGTCACCTCTTGTGTCAGCATGCATGTCACGAAAACAGTACGGGTCACTTTTAACCTCATGATTTAAAAGAAAAAATGTATTATGTTCTTCGTAATGAAAATAATAATTATTTTCATGCAAAACAATCTCATTACCATTGTAATGCATCTAGTTTTTTTGTAATACAGTAAAAAGAGAATTATAAAAATTGACATGTACATATTGTAATCATTAAACTTAATATGCAAAGCAAAATACGGAAAAAAGTAAAGCAGCTGTTGTGAGATCCATCCATTTGATTGTTTGTATGGATGTGCACTGGTTTCTCTTGTTAAGCAGTATTTTTTCCTTCTAAGCAGCTTGTTATGCTCCTGGCGCTATGAAGATGAAGCCGGTGATAAACATGGGCTTATGTCTCCAAACTTCAAACAAGCATTACACATCCATTATTTTCCCCGCTGCTCAGCCCTGCACAAACACAGCATCCGAAACCCAGCACGCCACCTCAAGCTCCACTTCAAAGCTTCAAAAACTTCAACACAGGCTTGTTTACTTTTTCGCCACCTTTGACTGGTTCATTTCCCGATGATGTGAGAAGGAGGGGTACGGTCTCGAGAACTGAAGACAGTCTTAACTAGATTAAGACTAAAGCTATTATTTAGTCTGCTTAGTCCATCCGTTAGATTTTGTTCTGTCTGGATTTGAATATGTTGATAGAAATGTTTATCTTCCATTTAAAGAAGCAGTTCACCCAAAAAAATTACTTTTGTCATTTAGTCAAAAAATAACTAGTCATATTTATTTAGTCAAATAATATATATATATATATATATATATATATATATATATATATATATATATATATATATATATATATAGCCTATATAAGCACCGGTCAAAAGATTGGAAAGTTAATATTTTTAATGTTTTTGAAAAAAGTCTCTTATGCTCATCGAGCCTGTATTTATTCGAAATCAGACATATCAAAAATAATTCTAATAGGCTGATTTATTATCAATGTTGGAAATAGTTGAGCTGTGTAATATTTTTTAAAACCTGTAATACGTTTTTTCAGTAATCTTTGATGAATAAAAAGTTTAAAAAAGAACAGCATTTATTTAAAATAAAAATCTTTTGTAACAATATTCACTACCACTCAAAAGTTTGGGGTCAGGATTTTTTTCTTTCTTTTTTGAAATAAATAATTATTTTATTCAGCAAGGATGTGTTAAATTGATTCAAAGTGATACGATTTATATTGTTAGAAAAGATTTCTATTTTGAATAAATGCTGTTCTTTTTAAACTTTTTATCCATCAAAGAATCCCGAATAAAGTATCACAAGATCCAAAAAAAATCATCATGATAATAAACGAGCATAAAATCATCATATCAGAATGATTTCTGAAGGATCATGTGACACTGAAGACTGGAGTTATGATGCTGAACATTCAGCTTTGATCATAAGAATAAATGACATTTTAAAGTATATTAAAATAGAAATCTATTATTTTAAATTGTAATAATATTTTACAATATTAATGTTTTTACTGATTTTATGATCAAATAAATGCCGCCATGATGAGCATAGAGACTTTTTAAAAAAGATTAAAAAATAGTAATGTTTCCAACTTTGGCCGGTACTGTGGGTGTGTGTGTGTGTGTGTGTGTGTGTGTATATATATATATATATATATATATACAGTATCAGTATATATATACAGTGTACATTTATTTTTTATACAATTATTGTAATATTTTAAAATGTAATTTATGGTTAAGGCTGAATTTTCAGCATCATGACTCCAGTCTTCAGTGTCACATGATCCTTCAGTACGCTGGTTTATTAAGAAAGCTTTCTGATTATTATCAATGTTATAAACAGTTGTGCTGATTAATATTTTTGTGGAAACCTTGATACATTTTTTTCAGGATTCTTTGGTGAATAGAAAAATCTACAGTATTTTTTAGAAACAAAAAAAGTAATGCAATTTTAAAGTATTTAGTGTATTTAATTATTTATAAATATATCTTATATGTATTTAAGTATTTATATATGTATTCTTGTGCGTTATATTTCAAGGCCTGGTTTCACATACAGGGCTTAGATTAAGTCAGGATAGGCCTTAGTTCAATTAGGACATTTAAGTAGCTTTTATAAACGTGCCTTAGAAAAAAAAAACATTACTGCTGTGCATCTTGAGACAAAACAATGGCACTGACATATTTTAGGATACTTTCAGTTAAAACAACTCAAACATGCATTTCAGTCCAGGACCAGACTTAAAACTTGTCTGTGAAGTCATAGCTTTGTGTCAGAGATCAGACTGAAACTTAAATCAACCTTCATTTAAAGTAGAATGATTCTTGGAGTTTAGGGATGTGTGTTATGGTGCTTGCCGTCATTTTTTGTCATTTTTCATGTTGCATCTTCAGAACACAAGACACCAGAGAAGGAAAGGGCCGGAACAAAACAAAGAGGCTAGTGTGTAAACTTGCGAGTGACCTTCTGACCTTTCGACATGTGAGCGCCGCATTACAAGAGACGCTGTGAAGCAAAGCAATTGCCTTAAAAAAAGAAGAAGCTTAGCCATCGTAACTGTTCTCAAATCCTGCTGTTTCATTTGTACTCCTCTGTCTTTAAACGTGAGATTAGCATGTTTATTGACATGTACTCGTGGTGAAGCAGAACAGCTGAACAAGCAAACAGGAACCCGCTCAAGTTATTGATAGAATCCCCAAGGCAGCCAGATTAGGTTTCCCCATGACCCCTGACCCCATTTCAGAAGCACATGTGACAGGAACTCTTCTCAAAACCGACTCAGGTATGCTAACCCAAACCCAAGCGCGCCCTGAAAGCATGTTTCCTGAGTGTGAAGCGTTCTGGCTGTCGACCGCATCTTTCTGTTTCTGACACAGTCGCTATTGCTGTCAGTATTCATTGTATAAATGGCTATGTTCAGAGTAGCATGCTATCTTTTGTCTTACAACATGAAACTTTCCACATGTAAAGCTGGAAGCTTACGTTGCTATTTTGAACCAATAATCGGGGGAAAAAAGGCAGGATGAAGTGCATAATTCAGTTATTTATCTGACTCCAATATAATTAATCTGACTCCATTAAAGGTGTTGTTATTCTTTAACCTCTTATTCTTTAAAGGTAAAAGTCTTTCCTATAAGACTGATAGGAAAACATAGGATTTAACCTGAACGTTTAGATAACGAAAGTTGTAATCACTTTAGCTCTCGACATTATCAGTGATAAAAGGAAAGATTCCCAAAGCCTTTAAAGCAGGCAAAGTAATTTATTAAGTTACATGTTTCAATATACAGACAGTATATGGGACAACATACTATATAGAAAACTTACTTGTAACAAATAATACACTGTTGTGCAAACGAGGCCGTAAGAGCCTTTCTCATATAGTATGAGTTTACGCACCGGTGTGCGGGAGTGGTGAAGCCTTTCTCCCAGATCAACAGTTACCTTTCCTTCTTATACCAAAGCATTATTAAACATGAGAGGAATACCAACACCGAAACCGACCGGCAGGAAAC